ATATTCGTTCTTTATAAGCTACGTTACGCTATTCTAATTATTAAGTCGTAACCTCGTATAATAATAAATATTAAAAAAGAAAATATATATTATTTATTTTTAAATAAACCTAAAGTAAGTATACGGGATCCGATAGAGCTATACGTTTTTGAGCTTATTTATAATCGGGTTATTAATAAGATATATAATATATACGCTTTTATAGAACTTTTTTATGGGCTAGTAGATTAGCGTATACTTAATAAAATCTTTAAATACTTAGATATTTTAGATAATATTTAAGAAGCTATTAATATCGAACTTAGTACGATAGATCTAGGTATTAGTATTATAATTAACGTTTAGAAATACGTTAAGTTCTAAAAATAAGCTTTTATAAAATATTTTATAAATAATAGTTTTAAGTATATTTTTATTAAGGAGTATATTCTAACTAAAGAACTGTTATTAAAAATAAAATAGTAGTTCTTAGTAATCTAGTCCGATACCCTTAACCTCTTTTTTTTAAAAAGCGTTCTTTATTATATACTTTATAAACTTTATAAGGCCGTAAGGGCTAGTATTACTTAGGGTATTTAAGGACGACGTTCGGTAACGAGGTCGTAGCCTATTTTATAATATATAGTAAGTATAGTATAAAACGAGGCTGAGGTAAATAATAATAATAATCCTTTAGGTAAGTTTAGATTACGGGGTAAAGCTCTTATTTTTTACTTAGTTAGTAATTAGATCCTTATTAATATAGCTAAATAGGTCTTATAAATTAGGGGTATAAATAGTTAATAATATAATAATAAAGAGTGCGTCGTTACTATTAGTATTACTATTTATAATTTTTAGTTATATAAGACGTATTAAAAAGACCGGTTTTTAGTCCTAGGGGTCGACCTCCTCCTCGTAAAGGTCCTAGGGGTCGACTTTTTTATAAAGGCTCTTATAAAAGTTATTATTACGGGTCTCGTCATTATTAAGGGTAGAGTTAGCGTCCTAGAGGTTATAAAGGGATATAAAAATAATATTAATTATAATAGAGCCCGGGGTAAGGCTCTTTTACGAAATAGTAGCCTAGTTTTAAGCTAAGCCTTAGCTTATATTATTTACGGGGCTAGATATAATAAGGGTATATTATATATACGGCCTAACTAAGAGAGAGGCTAGGCGATCTTAGTAACGGGACTAAAGTAGCTATTAACCGGGGATTAATAAAGACGTAGGGAATAAAAGACTACTTATAGCCCAGATTTGCTTACTTTAATTAAGATATTATTAGGCTTTTATAACTCTCTAATTCTTTATAATATAGTCTCTTTTTTTTTTAAGTATTTTTAATAGGGCTTATAATAAATAGATAAAATTATTAAGTTATAGTATACTAGCGTACTTATTTCCCTTATAATCTTATTTTAAGCCCTAAAGCTAACCCTAAGACTTAGAATAGACGATTTAGCTTCTATAAGTAGCTAGGATCGTATAAGTATAGGTTATTATCTCTAAGCTAGTTAATAGCTATTTTATTAAATACCTTAGCTATTAATAATAACATATTACTTTACTTATTAAGACTAACTATATAAGGAATTAATATATTATTACTTAGAATATAGGGGCTATTCTCGGTATATCTTAACTATTCTAAGCTAGATACTTTTTATTTATACCTAATTATAAACCCGTATCCCTAGATATCTAAGCTAAGTACGTATATATATCTAAAATTACTTAGGACCCCCTTATAGGCTTATATTATTTTATTATTATTAAGAAAAGTAAGTATAGGGAAAGTGTACTTAAGTAAGGGAGAGGTGCCCGTTTAAAATTTATAAAAGTAAATATTATTATAATTAGATTTTTATAAATTTTAAATAGGCTATGTAGCGGTTTTTATTTTAAAATAATATAAAAAGTAAGCGTAATAATACTTTTATAAGGGTTAGTATTATAGTAATATCGAGATTAATAAAGAATATAGGTAATAAGATAGAAATATTACGAATAAGTTAATAATAAATAGGGAGTTTAGTACTCCCCCTCCCCTCTTTTACCCTCTCCTCTACTCTCTCTTTTTTTACCTTTTTACTTACGTTCTTATATACTTTTAGCTTTATAATAAGGCTTTTAAAACGAAAAATAGTATATTTTAATAAAATTATTTTTAAGAAACTACTAGATAACTCTATAAAATAGAGATATCTAATACTATAAAATAATAAAAACTTAAGTATAGTATTATTTAGCTTACTAGTACGTTTATTATTAAAATTAATATTTCTAAGGCTATTATAAAATAGCAACCGGTTTTAAAAACTAATTTCTAAGTTTAGAGAGGATCTAGACCGATATAATAAAATAAATAAATACGTAGTTTATATTATAAAGCTAGTAATAGTCTTAGATAATTTAGGTTATAATTAGGGCGTCGTCTATAAGTACTTCTAACTTTTAATATAAGAGCGAGCCTAATACTTAAAAATAGAAGATTAAGTTAGAAAAATAATCGAACGGTATAGAAAAAAGACCTTAAAAACGTAACTAAATAATAGCCCTAATAATAATAAAAATATAAAACCTCCCGAACCCGTAATTATTATAAAATAAAAAAGAGAAAATATATTTATTAATAAAGCGACCGAGAGTACTAAGATTATAAAAGAGGTATAAAAACTATTTATAATTATTTTATAAAAAAAGAAAAGACGAGATATTTATAAATAAGCGGCTATATTACTTAAAATACCTAATATAGCTAGAACGACTATATAAATACTTAGGACGCTTAAAGTATTAAAAAAAAAGATTAAAAAAAAAATATATTAAAAAGAATATTAGAGTCCTAAATAGCGTTTTAAAATATAAAGAGGGAGCTAGGGGAAGGGAACTTTAAACTATAAGAGGATAATTATTATTATATTAGTAAACTTTTTTTTTATTAGATATTTAGAAAAACCTCTAAAAATTATTTATATTACTTATTAGCTAAGTACGAAGTAGTTTCTTTTTTAATAAGTAACGGAGTCCTAAAGGTTAAAGGACTTATAAAAACGCTTATTAAATTAGAGTACCCGAAATTAGCTTTTTTAGTTAGGTAGTAGGGGAGTATTATAAATATATCTACCGGGATAAGGATAGCTTTTATATAGATCCGGATATATATATAATAATATAAGCTTTAGAAGTTATAGGTCGATTTAAAAGATCTTTATTTATAAGGCGGGCCCGAGGTATTATAGTTATAAGGCTTCTTATAAAAAAATAGTTTTATAACTAGCTAAGAAAAGGGTATTAATAGCTACCTAGCGAGCTATTTTATAAAAGAGCTAGGCTTAAAAAAAGAATAAGGATTTTTAGATACGATTTATTAGTTTACTATGCTAAGGATTCTAATTAATATACTAGGATTAAGTATTTTAATATTTTTATTAAAGAATATTAATTTGTAATATAAGTAGCTAAAGGCTAAAAAAGAACGGGGAGGTTTCGGTTTACTAAAGAAGAAGAAAATAGAGTTAGTTTATAGTTTATTAGTAAAGAGGGTACTATTTATATAGGACTTATATAATATAATAAAAACGAGTATAATACATAGGATTTTAGTAAAAAAAAATCCTAAGATAATAAAAGCTCTATAATAAATTTAAAAAGAAAAGTCGAAATAAAAGGTAATAGATTTATTATTATTTTTATTTATTAAGGGGATTAGAGTAGGAAATATAATTAAAGTTAACTAGATTATAAATTTTAAACTTTTTTTATTTATTAATAGCGAGTAAAAAGTTAGCTTAGCTAGTTAACTAGGTTATGGATTTTAAAATTCTTTTACTTATTAATAGCGAGTAAAAAGCTAGCTCGGCTAGTTAAATAAAGTATTTAATATTTAAATTCTTTTACTTATTAATACTAAGTAAAAGGTTAGCTCGGCTAGTTAACTAGGTTATAGATTTTAGAATTTTTTTACTTATTAATAATAAGTAAAAAGCTAGCTCGGTTAGTTAAATAAGGTATTTAATACTTAAATTCTTTTATTTATTAATAGTAAGTAAAAAGCTAGCTTGGCTAGTTATACGAGGTATTTAATACCTAAATTCTTTTACTTATTAATACTAAGTAAAAAGTTAGCTTAGCTATTTAAATAAAGTATTTAATACTTAATTTCTTTTACTTGTTAATAGCGAATAAAAGGCTAGCTCGGCTAGTTAAATGAGGTATTTAATACTTAAATTCTTTTACTTACTAATACTAAGTAAAAAGTTAGCTCGGCTATTTAAACGAGGTATTTAATACTTAATTTCTTTTACTCGCTAATAGTGAGTAAAAAGCTAGCTCGGCTAGTTAAACGAGGTATTTAATACTTAAATTCTTTTACTTACTAATACTAAGTAAAAGGTTAGCTTAGCTATTTAAATAAAGCATTTAATACTTAATTTCTTTTACTCGCTAATAATAAGTAAAAAGTTAGCTCGGCTATTTAAACGAGGTATTTAATACTTAATTTCTTTTACTCGCTAATAGTAAGTAAAAGGCTAGCTTAGCTAGTTAAACGAGGTATTTAATACCTAAATTCTTTTACTCGCTAATACTAAGTAAAAAGCTAGCTTAGCTATTTAAACAAAGTATTTAATACTTAATTTCTTTTACTCGCTAATAGTAAATAAAAAGTTAGCTCGGCTAGTTAAACGAGGTATTTAATAACTAAATTCTTTTACTTACTAATAATAAGTAAAAAGTTAGCCCGGGTATTTAGGGTTTATAAATCTTAAATATTTCTTTATTTTACTAATAGCGTATAAAAGGTTAGTAGAGGTAGTAAGTAGTTAGGGTTTATAAATCCCAAATTATTCTTTAACTCGTTAATAGTAAGTAAAAGGTTAGCTTAAGTAGTTAATATAGGTATTTAGGATTAAAATCTTTTCACTTACTATTAGTAAGTAAAAAGCTAGCTAAGGCAGTGGGCATTTGAGATTTATAAATTTTAAATTTTCTTTTTAAGCCTAACCCTTTGGCACTTAATTAATACGGACTTCGCGAGCTCGGTCTGCTATTGCGTTGCTTTCTGGGCTATAGCGAGTCCCCAAATCCTTCAAGTTCCAGTTGTCCTCAACCAGATCAAGGTTGACAGGCCACTTGGTTTCCGTTACTACATTGTAGAGGATTGTTGTATCACTTCCAGTGTCGCACGGGTCGTCCGAGGTTTCTTGGGCATCAGGAATGGCAATGATTTCGGGGTGACACTTCCGGTTGGTCTTCAGTGCTGGCTGAAACAATAGATAGGCGGACTGAAGTGTTCGGCGCAGCGGAGAAGCAAGGATGAGAGATATCTTCGACTGGTCTGAAAAGGTCGTCTGTCGCAAGGTCATGCATTGCTCTTCGCCCAAGGTGGTCAGGTAAGGGTCAAGAAGAGTGTAGCATCCACCGCCAACATTGTGAAATCCCTGTCCGTGACGGACACAGTGGACAATTGGTGGCATCTGGAAGGATTGAACAGTCAAGATCTATGTGGTGGAAAATCAAAAAGAAATGTAAGGATTAGATAAATGTCATGATGAGGCGCACTCCTCTTCATCAACGCCAGTCCGATAAATATATACAAGTCTAAACTGCTGAATAATCTTGAATCTCCGCTGATAAATCGGGATCTGAGTGAATGATAACAACACACTCTGATATCACAAGGGCAACCACGGTGATTTCCGATCCGATGACTTGGCTCAAGGACGCCGTTTTTGATATGGGGATCTTGATCTAACACGGCAGCGCGATAAATCTTGGGCCAATTGGAAGGCAGGCAGATTAGTTGAGCTAGTACAACATAGGCAGCCAAGACACAAGTCATGCATTAGCGTTTTTTCTTTTATCTAGTATCATGTGAGGTTTCTTGTTCTGCTCTTCTTTAGCGATTGCTTTTCATTAGAGACATTCAGTGGCCAATATCCCAAAAAGTATGGCTCGCTCATGCCTACCTCGACATTCGTCTCAATGCGCCCTCAGCGAGATGCCAACAACACCGGCTTTATCGTCGAGCGGTCGTAGCTCTAGGACTCTGGCAAAAATCGTTTGTCCCTTACCAAATGGCCGCCCGCGTCCGCAGCTGCATGACGCTGCCGAACATGTATCTGCAGTTGATGAGTCTTTCAAGCAAGCGTTGAGCGCCTCGGCCGTGAGCTTCCCCCGATCTTGACAAAGTGCTGTAGCGGAATATACCACGAAGAGAGGATTTAATTGGAAGACATATACATGTACAGTTGAAAACGGCTTGATTCTTCTAAGTGATGGACCCTTAAGGGGTCGTATCTCAACACCGTACGAAGCGGGCTGCCGTCTCGCGGTAAGCAGTATTGTCCGGCAGCAAGTGGGCAGCACCACGTGTGGCGCTGCGACAGAATACTCTCCATCTCCAGCGTACCCATGTCCCAATTCTTGATGCAATACTTCATCTCGGGCTTGACCGTCATCCTCCCAGAGCTGATTAGGGAGCTTGACATCCCACAAGGATCCAGTGTGTGGCCAGCGATCGTCATTCCCTCGTCATCGCCAGCAACTTACGCATCTTCGGCAGTCTTAGGGATATGTTGAGGGGTTAGGGGGGATATCACGTCGTCATATGCTGTCTTCCCTAGCTTCTTGCCTGGAGTGTAATAAGCGGATTCAGTATTAATCCGCTGATGCTAAATTTCTGTGGTGCTCTACAAGGACTAGGCGTTGCGGCATCTTTGCCTACCGGAGCCATGCTCATGGGGTCGTTATATCATTCTGAGCCCCGCAAGAACCTCGTCTCCGCACATAGTGAACGGCACTTCAGCAATACTTGGTTTTTTTTGTCGGCATTCTTGTGGCAGGGATCGTGGGTCAGTCTAAGCTATCGGGGTTTTACTTCTGGATTGGCGCCAATCTTAGAGCAGTGGCATTGTTAACTTCAGTCTTGTTCGTTCCGCGTCTGTATTTAATAGACCAAACCCCCAATCGAAGCCAAACTTGACTACCCTGGTGCCTAAACCGTTTCTCGATTCTGTACAGTTATATATACATGATGCTGAACGGATAGACTAGACCGGTCGTACACTTCTTTTGTTCGAGATAATTTATCAAAGTGTAGTTTACACCCTTACGCTTCGTATATTGTCCAAGATGCCTATTCCCAGTATCGACTTCTCCGGTACGTCTCCGCATGCTCTACACAGCATTCGCTCACTTAGTTAATATTACTTTTTAGCTGTATTCGCATCAGATGCTGGCGCTAAGAAGATTCTTGTGGAACAACTCGAGGCCGCATGCAGGAGTCATGGCTTCTTTCAACTCACAGGGCACAGCATTCCCCAATCTCTTCTAGATGCGGCTTTGGACCAGAGCAAAGAGCTATTCTCGCTACCGCTCGAGGTGAAAGAAAAGTATGATAAGAGTGAGTCTAGCGTTTTTTTAATTCGTTGTTTTCTTGCAGTCAACAAAACAGAATCCGAGGATGAAGCGCTAACGGGGCCATGTCCCTCTGGCGTCTAGATTTAGGCGGCTTCAATCGGGGATACGAACGCTTGCGATCTCAAAACTTCGAGGCGTTAGCGCAAGGGGATCTGAAGGAAGGGTACTACTTTGGCAAGGACCTACGTATCGACAACCCTAAAGTACTCGAGCGCAAATTCAACCTAGGCCCAAATAAATACCCGAAAGACGTCACGGACCCCGTCAAATTTCGAAAGGTGATTGACGACTACCACGCCGCCATGTGCGTTCTCGCCGAGATCATCATCCGTACGCTTTGCGCCACCATCGGAAATGACGATGACTGGGTTTCAGACTTTATTGACACACCCATCGCTGTTCTGCGTCTGTTGCATTACCCGCCTCAGGCCCCAAATGCCTCCGCAACGGAGCGAGGTACGTTTTGTTCTCTTCTTACGGGGTCTCTCTGTCTGACTCCGTTGTTCCTTGACAGGTATCGGCGCTCATACCGACTTTGGGGCCATAACTATTCTACTGCAGGATATGGTCGGTGGTCTGCAGGTGTGGGATCGCGCCTCCTCGGAATGGATCGACGTCAAACCCACGGAGGTGCTCTCGTCGTGAACCTTGGGAACCTAATGATGCGCTGGACAAACGATAGGTATTTATCGAACCTGCACCGCGTCATCAACAAGTCGGGGAAGGAAAGATATAGCATTCCATTTTTTTTCGGGGAATCCTGATTTTGTGGTTGAATGCTTTTCGAAATGCAGAGGCGACGCAGGCCCTAAATATCCCCCGGTGACTGTTGGAGAGTGGATATCAGGTAGATACGCTGACACGTACGGTACCTCAAAAGACAACGCCTTCACAGAGCTGTCGTCTACCGATGCGAGTGCAGCATCAGCGTACAAGCCGAAGGAATAACGTCTAGAGAAAGTAAAGAGTGCTTGCTTCCTACACAGTTGGTCCTGTCATGGCATGGCTATATGTATGTGTATATAAGGTAGACAGACATATAGTTGAAGGAACAATGATTAGCAGGGTCATCATGATCGAGGCTTTTGCTTTGTGTCATAGTTGATTGCCTTGACCATAATCTCAACGTCAGCTACACAATAGTCTACACAATTGATTTTATATAATGTAGAAAGGGTCGACTAGTCGGTTATTAACGTAATTCTAAGTAAAGTATTTGCACCCTGGCTGAGCTCTTGTAAGTCCACGCTATGCTGTAGCCGGTGATGCACCCGAAGCCGGACCCAGAGCTGGTGCTGACTCTTGCTTTTCTTTGACCGGTTTTCGCCCAACGAGAACATGCCTATGCAAGTAAGAATAAGCCAGACGATCTTATAGCGGGAGAACTTACTGGGGCCAATAAGCGTGGATATTTCGGTCGTTTCCGTTCTTGCGGACTTCCATGAGAAAGACTCTGACCTCTTCGGGGCTCCAGTTCAAGGCACGTGTGAGGGGTGCCATCGTGATTGCCTCCATCCCCGTCATGAAGTTTTCGTTGTTCCATGCTCCCAGCTCTTTGAAGTGTTTTTCTTTCGGCCAAGGGTTCGTCGGCCACTTGAAAGTACTTAGCGCCACATCTTCAAAACCGACCTCAACCATAAGTTCCCTCAGCTCGGGCGTATCAACCCATGCTGCTCCAAGCTTGATCGACGCTTCCATGAGATACTTGGACCAATCGGATAAAGCATGTTCGGGCTTCAAGGTTCCATCATCAGATTGAGCAAAAATAGCGGTTTCCTGAAGCTCAACATAACCACCAGGCTCCAGATTACTATGTTCGCACTGGTCAGCTCCAAGCTTCGTCGTTTCGTCTTGTGATCTACAAAGTGATCAGACTTACTCGTAGCATCTTTGTAAGAAAATTCTCCAGTCTCTGATGCTAGACGTCATGAACCGGCTGTGGATGTATTGAAAGGGTTGTGAAAATGTCCACTCGTCTTCGATATCATCGACCTCGAACCTCACATTAGGAGGCACACTGAGATATTGGCATTAATGCTCGCTACGGAGATACCGACTTTGATTGAAACATACCTGCTAGGCTGAGTGGGAGAAAGGTCGATACCCAAGATATCGGCCTCCGGGTGGTCATCGCCAAACTGAACCGCCCAGATACCCGTGCCTGTACCGACATCAAGAACGCGGCCAACTTTGGCGTCTTCTCGACAGAGTGGAGCGATGCCAAGCTCGCCATCCAGCGTGAGAAGACAAAGGTGGTTAACCAAATCTATGGCACTAATTAGCGGAATGCTGACCCACGATCATGGTTGGAAATCAATACCAAGTCTATCAAGCTCGCGTTCATCGTTCGGGAACTGATATTCTAGAGAACAACTTTAGCCACCAAACTAATTGAGTCAATCTCAAAACCCACTTCCATCCTTGTATCGATGATAAGTACGACCATTCTCAAGGCGATAGTCTAGGAGTGAGCTGCGCAGACTAGTACTAGAGGACGCAATGCTCTGTTACAAATTCAGTGTCTGCAGCATCAATAATTTGCAGAAATGGCCATACTCACACTCCCCATCTCTGAACGAGAATCATCTTGCTATAGAAATTTCATCAGACACAAGGTATGCCACTCATGGTGCGGTGTGTTAACGAACCTCCTCGTCAGCAGCGATCTGAACCTCAAAATCCTGAGGTGGATTAGCCATGATAGGTTACGGTGCTGAATCTCAGTTCAGACAAAAAGCTCCGAAATTGGAAAAAGGGAAGGAGAAATGACAGAGGAATGTGACAGATTCGTCATGGCGGGTGGACTAATATAGGGTCAATGTTGGACCTCTTTTTGGCGCATGCAGCGCCGCCTTTCTGCACCAAACACTCAAAAAACCCCATGTCCATAGGCTGCTGAGTGGGCACGGATGTTTCCCCGCGCGAATAGAAGTTTAGCCGCCTGATGCACCACCGAAGTTCGCATGTTTGTCACATTCGATATTGGCGGGGCTATTTTTTGTTATTGGTCACAGCTTGGCCGGGGTCATAAGTCGTACGCAGATTGGTGTGGAGTTTGTGTCTTCTTAATGCGGCATTGTTGTCGTACATAGTGCTGCCATGTTAAGAAGACCCGCGTCGATAGGCAAAATAAAGCAGGATATAATAGATACTACTGCCCGGTGTTAGATCCAAGTCTAGCATTGTCCGACAATATGACATTCCCAGGATTGGCTCTCCCCCCGAGTTTAATGGGCCCAGTAATGAGGCTACCTAACCTTCCAAAAAAGAAGAAAAAGTAATCCTCTATTCGTTGGCAGAAACAAACACGAACAGCCTATACCACGAGATCATAGTCTATGTACTGCCCACTACCAGAGTATCTCCATCTACTGACGTATGCTGCTGGTTTTCGTTCAATAGCTTGACCATTTGTAGTTCCATATACTCCAATGACAACTCCCGTGTATCCACCGCTCACTAAAATTGTCCCGGCATGCCCAATTATTGTCATGTCAACAGCTTTCTGGTTGCATAGAGTCGGAAACCCAGCCATGAATGTGTAATGCGTCGTGTCCGATGCCACAATCTCCAAGCGGATTGGCGTGCGGTCTTGGTATTCTGGTGGCAGGGCTGAAGTAACCGGTTGCGGCACGGCGACATTCTCGTTGCTACTGTATGATCGAATTTGAAGTAGTTTGCTGCCGTTTGTCTCGTTGTTGTACGTCACACCAAAGTCAATGTGTCTTTTCTCGTCCAGGTACACAGAAATCCCAGCCTCTTCTCCAGGCAATTGAGGCTTAAAGTCTAGATCGACGCTGAATGAGAAGAGTGTTTCTGTCTGCCTGCGACCGACAAATGTGATATCCCTTGTCAAAGTGCTATTCGGCATAATCACCGACGATAAGTTTCTTGATGATAGCTCAAGTTGTAATGTATTTGCATGTCCCTGGGGAGAAATCGAGTACGCTGACTCCCTTGGGTGTCGGATATGCACCCAATGTGAGGGCAGGACCGATCCAGGCGCAAAGTCGACCACATCAACGCCATGGTCAATCCTAGGTATACCACTGGAGTTGATATATGTGCCAGGAAGTGATGCCATCATCTGTCCTCTAACGGGTTCGAGCAGACGAGGCCACAGCCCATCACCAGCTGGCCAGGAAACCGGGAATAAAAACGTCTCTCGGCCCATGGGGTACGTCTCAAACTTGGCTCCTGAACGCACCGCTAATGCGACACCCCACCAGTGGCCGGTTGCTTTATCTTGGAAGATATCAGCATGGCCAACTGTTTGTATGTATGATGAGTTGAAGTGCTCGGCGGCAACAATTGGATTTGCTGGGTTGCCCTCGTAGGGACCATAGATAGCGCGGGAACGGGAGACAGAGCCGCGATGAGATTCTTTAGTACCTCCTTCAGCAACAAGGATATAGTACCAGTCGTCTTTTTTGTAAAGGTGTGGACCTTCGGCGGTTCCCAGGCCGGTACCATTCCATGGGTACGAGAGATCCCCAAGAACCCCTGTTTCGATGTCAATGGTAGCCAGCGCAATCGCGGTGCCCGTAGATGAAACAGCAGCCCCAGTGAAATAGACGGTGTCATTGTCATCGTCGAAGAAGAGAGAAGGGTCGTAGCCGGTGAAATTGAATTCAGTAGGAAAGCTCCATGATGATGCGTTGAAAGGATTATTTGTCGAGAATATGAGGTTTCGCATGGCGAATTCCTTATATGAAGTGATAGACACGAAGGTAGTCGTTACATAGAAGGTTTTGTTGTGATGGCGAATTGTTGACGCAAACAAGCCATCTTGGCTAGTTGGCGCGTTTTCCAGCTGTGGAAGCTGCTCGCGTCGATTGAGGACATGACTAGCAAGCGTCCAGTGGCGCAAATCTGTGCTTGAATAGACTGGGACACCAGGAAACCATGTAAAGGTTGATGTTACGCAAAAGAATGTCTCATCGACATGAACACAGCTTGGATCGGGGTGGAAGCCAGAAAGTACGGGGTTGAAATAACTGGCTTCAACTACCGCAACCAGGAGATAAACCAGAGCTATTATTTTCATCTTGATAAGGCCATGCTCGGCTCTCCGTCAGAGCGATTTCCGAAACCAGTGGTTTTGCACGCGAATTTATATTTGCTGAGCTCTGGAAGGCTGTATAAGGTAATACGAAAATGGATGGATACGAAAATTGAGTACGAATGAAAATACGAGTGTAACATCAGCGCGGGGCACCACACTAGTAGTACGCGGGGTTTGTTGAATCGATATTCCTTCACAGCTACCGAGATGGGAACTATAAGGCGAGGCTAGCGCATGAAATGGAACTCGGCACAGAGAGTAAGATCGACCCGGTTTCTGAGGAACCTCCGCTACGCGCATCCTTGAATGCTAAATCAATTTACTCTTCTCTGCATCTCCAACTAACCGCGTGCTACTGTAGCTACCACGCTATATTGACAGCCTCTTGTACTCGATGGAATAGTGCATGTCTTTGGGGGACGTAAGCCAGTGAATTAGATTTCGCATTCGAATCACACAACCAGCAGAGGTCTGAGGTCGACCAGAAACTCGCGCGGATTCAAACTTTTACCGCCACTCTACTTCTAGGAATACATAGCTAGTACAGAATGCACATACTCAAATGAGAAGATCAGTTTCTCCAGCCGTTGGGGCCACCCCAAGTTCCTTTGACCATGGAGGTGTAGTAGACCCACGGGAAGAAGTCCTTTTTCAAGTGGTAAAACGCACGTCTAGGAACTGCTTGGTCAAATCCAATAAGGTCGCCAAAAGTCTCCTTGGGAACTCCACCATACTTGAACTCGGCAAGCAATAGTTTACCATACTCGGTAGGAATTGGGCAAGAGGTGTAGCCATCGTACAAGGGTTGAGGCTCGGCGCCGTCCAATGACCGCAGCAGGTTGCTGACAAGAATCGGAGCCTGAGATGTGATTGCTGCAGCAGTCTTAGAGGTGGGTAGACTAGATGCATCACCTGCCGACCAGACATTGGGGAATTTAGTGTGTCGGGTTGTTGCTTGATCAACACTGACATAGCCGGCAGCATCGGCGAGAGGGCTGCTCTTGACAAAATCATGGGGGCCCATCTTGGGGACGACATGCATGAGGTCAAACTGCTTTGTGACCTTTTCCTTCCCGTCAGGACGGCCGAAGGTGGCTGTGTTACCATCCACGGAGAGGAGATCGTGCTGAAAGAGTCCCTCGACGCCCCTTTCCTTGCGCAATTCTTCAAGCTTTGCGCTGTATTTGGGGACACCAAACATGGTGGGAAGGCCAGTGGCAAAGCTGATCTTAATGGACGAGCTTGCAGGGTCGTTCGGGTTATACAGGCCGGCACGCTTCCAGTGGTCGAGGGCAAGCCACATGATCTTCTGGGGAGCGCCAGCACACTTGATCACACCGGCGGGTTGGGTAAAGATTGCGTTTCCCTTCTGAAGTCTTCCGAAAGTGCCGAATACCTTGTCACAAGTGTCATAGCCGTAAATAGAAGACACAAGGGAACCGGGGTCTGCAAGAGCCTCGGGCAAGCCCTTGACGCTGCCGTAATCGATGTTGATACCAGGAGCGACAACGAGCTGCTCGTAGCCAAGTTTATCGCCATTTCCAAGCTTGATGTTGTTTTCCTCGGGGTTGAAGGAGCTTACTCCCTGCTGGTAAAACTTGAGTTTGGGGTCGACCAGGCTCTCGAGGGGCCTCCGCAATTCTTGTTTTGACTTGAGGCCACCGCCGACCAACGTCCAGCCTGGCTGATAGTGGTGCCATTCGGCCGGATCAACAACAGCAATGTCATCCTGAGAAAACCGGCCGGACCGCAACAACTGGTGGCTAATGGTCAGACCTGCGCTGCCTCCTCCGACGACAACAACTTTGTGGTTCCGAGCAGCGGAGCTCACGGGGGCTACTGTCGCGAAATTCCGAATCTCAGAAGCCTTTGCAACAATCCGGGCGCGGCTGGCATGGCGTGATGCCAAAGTCGCGCGACTAGCAAGCATTTCGAAGTAAATGAAGAAGGAGTGCTGTGAAAAGTTTGCAGAACAGGTGATGGCGGTATTTTTTTAGGGGAGGGTTGGACCACGAGATGTCGTGATGATAAAGCACAGAGATGAGCCAACTCAAGTAAGTATGGCGCCTGAAAAGAAACGGGGTGCGCCGACTGGAAAATGAAAACGCCGAAGCTTAAAAAGAGGTGCGGGGCCCACTCCACTGTTGGACCCAACAGACGAGTTAAATTGTCAGGATTGCAAGCCGCGCCGAGCATCCCCCGATAGCCGTAAGCGTCCGCTAAAGAAAACTTCCTCGTTCCCGGGCTTGACATCCAGTTGGGCTTCCTTCAGTGAAAGAGCCGCACCGGCCGGCCGGCTTGTCGGTGAGACTAGTCGGCGAGAATGGTCGCCGATTTCATTTACAACTCCCCGACCGGCACGGGCAACCGCCGGGTTGCAGTGGGGATCTCGTTCGATGTTTAAACTTTCTTTCGGTTGCTCCCAGTATTAAAGGTTTCGGCTGATTGACCCCCCACCACTCGGTCCATTTACATTGTGCATCCTCAACTTTTAGTTGCATCATTGCTTCCAGCAGCTTGTATCGCCAAACCCCACTCGCTCTCTCCTATATTCACTGTCGCGACTCACCTTCGAAATGACACCCATGCGCGCGTGTGTGAATAAACAAGTCCAGTCGTGCTGTCTATCGTCACCAGGGATTGCAAAATCACCACTCATCCGAATAACTTGCAGCACTCAGGTGCGTGCTGTGCATGACACCAGGGCAACCAGGGCCGTCCATCCAGATGCCTTCCCTGCGCGTCGGCCTGCCATGTTACCAAGTGGCGGCTTTGCAACGCCCCTCTCTAAACGGCGGAATATCTCAAATGCGATAAGTCAGTCCGGAAGATACTCATACAGCACAGCCCCTGTCGATACCACACAGCCTGTCATTCACGATGTCTTTGAGTCAAGGACAGGAACCTGGCAATACGTCGTTGCAGACCCAGCGACGAAAGCGGCGGTCATCATTGACCCAGTCCTGGATTATGACCGCACAACTCAAATTATCACCACTTCGTCAGCTGACGAGTTGCTTCGATTGGTCAAAGAAAAGGGCTACCGAGTCTTGCGGATCCTAGAAACTCATGCACATGCAGATCACCTCACTGCAGCTTCGTACCTACAGAAGCGTATCGCAGAGGAGCATGGTAACAGGCCACAGATTGGCATCGGACGGCGCATCGGACAGGTACAGGACTTATTCGGCCAACGATATGACGTGCCCAGCCAAGAGCGTCATGGTGCTTTTGACAAACTCTTTGAAGACGATGAGAGTTTTAGCATCGGTAACCTGAGCGCGACTGCCATTCATCTCCCCGGGCACACGCCTGACCATCTGGGCTATAAGATCGGAGGTAGGGCCCCTGGGACGCCACGTTATCATATTTACTTTTGCTGATGTTCTTGACAAGACAATGTGTTCTGCGGTGACTCCCTTTTCCACGTGGACATTGGGACTGCTCGATGTGACTTTCCTGGAGGAAGTGCCAACAACCTTTATCACTCGGGCCGCAGGCTTCTTAGTCTTCCAGACCACGTCAAAGTTTGGACAGGCCATGACTATCCCCCGGACGATCGAGAAGGCCCAGTGCCATGGATGACAGTCAGCGATCACAGAAAGCTAAACAAACACTTACGGGACGGTATCACCGAGGAGGAATTCGTTGCGCAACGCAAAGAGCGCGATGCTAAGCTCGGTGAGCCAAAGCTACTTCACCAGTCTCTGCAGACAAACATCCGAGCTGGCAAGCTGCCACAACCAACGGCTTCTGGGCACCGTATGCTTCGTGTACCTATGAAACTTGGAGACCTGCAATGGTGATCAACAAGATACCGCTGGCCGCGGTCGGGAGCGTGAACACTGTGTCAGTTATCTACGGAGGCTAGCGCCGCCAGAATGGGCGGTTTTGAGTGTGATGGGGATACGAAAGTTGGCGGCGATCATCGAGAGCCTCATTCCCGGCTACATGTAATGGTGATTGGGTTGTTGATGTACCATTGTGGCATTGCCTTGAAAACTATTGTACCTAGAGGGAAAGGACGCGCCCGGGGCGCTGAGAATGTAATGAGTGGGCTTGTAAGGAAACCCGATTGGCAAGGGAGGGGAGTGGTTCTTTGATCGCACTGGCCCAACTCCTTATTCCGTCGTCAATGTATTACAAGCAGATAAATTCAATTCTCTTGGTATTTGTGTTGTTCTCACAAAGGCAACGCAGAGAGTAAGGCCAAATGCCACAATAATGGTCGAAGCTTAGGGGTAGGGTTTGACACGCGCTTGATACACCTATTGTATAAGGCACGTGGGCCACTGTCAATGTAACAACACAACACAGGCCTACAAGCGGGGAGGCACAGTAGCTAAACTCACTGAGCTTAAAAGTGATGAGACCATTCCGGTGGAAGCAATTCTTGGCCGAGCTGGTTCACGCTTGGCCTTTGCAATTAAATGCCCTTGTGGAGGAGTTGCCTTTTCCCATGGGCAAACAGACGCTCTGGGCTATACTACAAGGAAGCCTAGCGCAAGGAAAATCATGTCTAGCAGTGTTTCGAACCCCGTCGAGGTGACCCCTGTCAACAGGATCGAAGACAACCTCGAAACCATGGAAATTAAGTAAGGACAAAAGACGCCCAGTGTTGGGTACTTCAGGTTCGTCTCACCAACGGCCCTACCGAGGCGACCGACTTGAATGTGAAAATGGGAGGAGACGAAAAGAATTAATGAAATCATTCGTTGCAGCGTTCGATCCGGCTACCCGAAACGTTCTGAAGTCTATGCGCAGCCCATTTGCTGTACGTGAGTTTGGGCCATTTCGGCCATCGCATTGTTTCACATGCCGGTGCGAACATCAGATGAGAACCGATCACACACAAAGAGACTCAGTCGGCATCCATGCGTCGGCTAGATTGCCGGGGGATGGAACCTCAGCAACTTCGGATTGTGCTACTGATCTCGAGTCTGAACGAGGCGACACGTCATGCTCACTCCAGAAACTCAGATGAATCATAGCTAATTTATGTGGCATGTGCAAACAAAACCCCTCTCGTCCGCTGTCCAGCTGCAAATCAAGCCACACTCACGGAGAATTATCACGTTTTTACAAGGTTTCAATGTCACCGTTGGGGTTCAGGCAACACTGCCTTGTGTGATCGCGCTCTCCGACGCTGCTGAGTCAAAGTCGATCGTCAGTGGCACCCGATCAATCCGAGTCTTCTCACTACAAACACGGGGCGACACCGGACAACACTATTGCGTCGTGTGGATGGAATCGAGTACTAATGAGTCAGCACTATGAGGACGCGACGACTTCAGTGCCGCCGCTCGCATTGCCACCAAAAACAGCCCCTCAGAAAGCCAATCGATTGTATCCCGTACTGTCTCTTCTCTCGGTAATACTATTATTCATTTCGGCCGGGGCTGGTATAGCTTTATCAGCTGTGGTCTTGTTCCAGGATCTCGAGTCAACAGAGGTCCTCGATCCTCTTAGCAGAGCTGTTTTCTTCGTTGCTTCCTGCATGAGTCTCGTCTACGTCTTCACGCATTTAGTCGCTGGACGAACAGCGTACATCAAGAACTATGGATCTCCAACTAAATACGGCAAATATGTTGCCGGCTTTGCCTTTTTGCTGGCTAGGCTAGGTCTTCCCGTTTGGGTGGCAGCCATCACTTTGTCGATATTTGTGGCTGTGAACATTGGACTGGATCTTTCCAAGGGGGTTCAAGAAAATCTCCCATGGCTTAATGTCATAATCAGCATATCTTCCTTGTGAGTGATTGAATCCAAAGGGACTGGATGGTCAGAGCTAATACCTTCACAAGGTTTTCTCTCGCAGCAGTACTTGCAGTTATTGAGATGGCAGATCGTCCATTCGCGACTCTAGGCATTTCTCAAGCTTGGTTCATTCGAGGAGAGGATCCACTAGCATGTCCTGATGATGACGACGACCTTGAGCCGGGAGTTGTCTATATGACGCCGAGCCTCCAGGAGAATATAGAGAAGCACGCCGAAAAGCCCCGTGTGCCAAGCAAACCCCAGAAGCGAAAGCGCAAGACTCTGACGAAAAGGAATCCTCACGAGCCTCAGCGAAGAGCTTTGTAAGTAACTTTACTTCTGTTCATAATATGACTCAAGACTAACGAAATTGCTAGACGCCATGCCAGAAGCATATCCATGCCAACTCCCTTGAATGCTGTCTTCGGGGACCGCCCTGGTGCCGTGATGCCCGACTCTCCGGTATCCTCCAGTGCATTTGCATGGAAGCCACCGACGAGGGATGGCGCGACACCAAAAGCAGCCGGGAGAGTGGCACTCGATGATTGGGTTACGTGGCGTGAACATGCCAGTATGCGACAAGGGGATTCCGACATATCCACCAATGCCTCGGCACGGCCTGGCGAAGTGATTTTGCTATCCATGCCTCGGCAAGCTGAGTACTCTCCGCGTAGTCAGGCTCTACTTGAAGAACAGGGGAGGTATGATTCAAGAAGATGGACTGCTATCGGCATGCAATCACCTCCCATCAACGGTCGATTTCTGGATATTCAATTCAGAAGGCCGCTGACTCCATTGATGACCATGGAAGAAGAAAACAGACTCGTAGGGCGCAGACCTTCGACCCGGGATGGGGATTGGGAGGCAAACTATCATTTACAGATGAGGCAAGCGAGCCAGCCGGCAAGTTCACGCACCACGACGACATTTAGATCGTCTCGTTATGGTCTTGAGGCTACTCCTGACCATCCTCCTTCACTCCCACACATTGCAACCCTCGTAACCAGAGCGGATGGTATTACCAATAGCATTCGACCTGACAGCAATGTATTGCCAAACGAGGGACGACGGAGGCGTAGGATATCAAGTGTCAGTTCTCTTGAGGGGCGACGTCTTACGTACAGGACAGAGAGTCGAGTCATATCTGAGCAAAGCTCACGGCCAAGCACACGTCCGCCGAGCCAACATCCGTCTATAGCAGCACTAGCTACACGACCTGCGAGCCCGACATCGACGGTCCAGTCCATGAGATCCGATGTGCACAACTTTTCCAGGCCTCGAACCTCGGCAGCTGCTAGAATGCAGTCAAAAGTTGCTAGGCGTCTCCGTGCACTCAAGCAGCAGGAGACCGAAAATGCCAGGCGGTCCCAGGTGGAGGGACCTCTCCCGGCGTCTCCCAGCTCTCCGATTTCTCCTGCCACACCAAGAACAGTCCGAGCCGCAGCGGTGAGAACTCTTCAAGACAGGCTCGGTAAGAGGAATCTCAAGAAGCAAGCGGAGGAAAGCCCCCGCCCCGCAACTCCGGAGACACCACGAACAGCCAGAGCCACGGCGGTCAAAAATCTACAAGAGCGGCTGGGAAAGCGAATGATGCGGCGAAATGGAGAAGAACTTGCCCAAGCAGTATAGTAGTTTAGTCGTTCTCGGCAAGCACCTGGGTTTTGTCGAAATAAACGTAATGCAAGGTGACGTTAGAAGTATATGAGTGGGCGCAAAGTAATTAGTAACTAGATCAATTACTTCTTGGAGACTTAGAATCTCTTGAGATTGTATTGAACAAAATTAGAAGGAATTCAATAATCATGTTTTTGCTATGCTTTCTGTTGTACTCATTCAAGGGGCCACCAGGGCTCCTTATTGTTTCTTCCAAGGCCAAAGTTCCCAAGCAAGCAACCCAAAGTCTCGTCAACGAGAATGAAGTAATCAGAACGATAAGACACAGCCACTAAAGAGGAGCACTTTTACAATGCTCGCCTCTCCTCTAGAGCCCCAGCATCAACCTGCACACCTGACTACGCACCCAGCCCATCGCTATGGAGACCCTTCTCGGGGGCTGTAGTATGCTCTTCCCTGGAGTCCTGACTTTTCGTCCCTAACTGCAAAGTCTCTATCCCATAAAGCCGCCTCTATGGTCTCATACGCAACATCGACGTGCTCTGGAGTTGAGTCGTCAACCTCGCGGTCTTGAACAATCTTCCAGCCTGCGCGAGAGAATCTGCGGCGGGCTTTGTTGTTCATGCCTACCAGCCTAAGTGACATCTGTTTTCCTACATGCTGTTTCGCTTCCTCCTTCAACTCGGAAAGTGTCTGTACTCCGGTTACGTCGATAAAGGGGACATGTGTCAGGTCCCAGACCATGACAGCCATCTGCTTGCTCGAGGGCATGACGTTGTCTCGCTTCCGCAACATTTCGATGCGTTTAGACGATGCCACACTCCAAGACCTATCGACTGATTTGCTCAGTGACTGATCCCCAACCTCTTGTCGTTCAAACTGTACTTTAACGGACTCAAGCACTGACTTCTTGATGCGGCCGGCGTTTGGGAAGAAGATCGAGTCGGTGAAACTGACCAGCATGGCGTCTTCGGGAACGAATGTATCTTCTGCAGCAGAAGACACAGCCGCCTGCTCTCGCTGAATCGTACGATTCTGGCCACTTGTAGCTGAGAACGTCTTGACCTTCGGGAATGCGGATCGAACCAAGGTGTATCCTATGCTGAACAACACCGCAAAAGCAATGCCCATCTCTGTAGACACAAAAAGTGTGACCCAGAAAGAGAGCATCGAAGCTACAAAGTCCATGAACGAAATTCGCCAGTAACGGTAAAACACGGAAACAGGGCCAATGATGTGTATAACGGCCATGATCTGGTGAAATTCTGTTAGCTTGCGCCGATATAAGAAAGGAGGGGCATTTCGAACGTACGATAATTGCAGAAAGAGTAGCTTTAGGGATCCAAAACAGAGCTCCTGAAAGCTTGTACAAGGTAAGCAGAATAAACCCAGCGGTAAAGGCGCCGCTGAGCGGACTCTTGACACCACACTCTGAGTTCACAGCTGTTCTTGACATGGCACCGCCCACGCTCATTGCTCCAAAAAGGCTGTTGATTGTGTTTGTGATACCGAGATAACAGAGCTCTTGGCTTTCGTCGATTGCGTAGTTGTTCTTTCGGCCAAAAGCCTTTCCGATGGCCAGATGCTCGAGGGCTGAAGCTACGAGAGGGGCGATTGCTCTGGTGGTAACCTTGGACACAAGGTCTCCGGCAGGAATCTTTGGCGCTTGAAGACCGTTGGCCTTAACCTTGCTGATAGCCCACAAGGGGTCTGCTCTATCTTTGTTGACTAGGAAACTGATTGTCGTGTAGATGAGCAATAGGATGACCGCTCGGCTACTGCAGGCGAATTTGATTATTGCGCTCTTCTTTCCCCACTTCTTTCCAATGAATTCGAGAATGTACAGCATCAAAATGCCACTGAATCCAATAGCGATAGTAAGAGGCTCCATCTCCGGGATACGTGACAGAACGTTACTGATGATAGCCGAGGTGCCGGAGGGAACATCGCTAAGGCCAACAAGCGAGCCAACCTGGCCCAAAAGAATCGTAATAGCAGCTGCAGACAGGAATCCAGAAAGAACAGGGACTGAAATGTATTCCAAGATAAAGCCGAGTTTGAGCAGTCCAACAATCAGCGAGTATATGCCGACCATCAACGCGACGGCTGATGAGATGTCCTGGGCAGCAAACCCTTCTGTCTTGAGATCCGTGATAATCTCGGCGGTAAGGAGGCCCATGATGGAAGTTGGCCCGGTGGAGAGGTCTGCATCAATGTTAGAGAATGAACACACCTGAGCATATTGGTCGTACGCACCTTTCGAAGTTCCCATGAAGACGTAAATAGCAGCTGGTAGCCAGCTAGAATAGAGACCAAACTCCCCGGGGATCGTTGCTATCTTTGCATAGGCCAATGCTTGGGGAATCATCATGACACCAATCGTCATTCCTGCAATAAAGTCGGATAGGAGCCATTTTGGGTGATACTGCGGAAGCCACTGAACAATCGGAACTTTCTCGATGAGATACTGTCCGGTTGCTTGGGGCAATCTTGGGAGTCCTGAGGCCACCTTTCCCCGAACTGTATTGATAGTGCTGTCTGTCTGGAAATCAGACTTGGCTTCCTCGAAGAACTTCATGATTATTGCCGGCAAAAGGTGTCCCCCTACAAAAACGAATTCTGGCAAGTGATCAAAGCAAAGAGAGAGAATGTGTCTGTTTTGTAATCGTCAAGGTCGAGACAGCACACCTCATCAAACGAACCATGATATTCGACGGTAAGAGCAATACCTTTTATCGGATGTGTCTGCGTGAACGGCTTTCTTGCCGTGCGGTCAGACTTCATACTTTCTAATGGTAGACTGCGGCAATCTACTACCTAGAAGGGGCGAAGTATTGGGATGACTGATTTCATGCATTAAACTTTGAGTGGCATTCCGATGCCAGCTGCGGCGAGCGAGCTGCCGGGACAACCCTTTCTCATCTTGATGTTCCAAAGTATTCCGATGCCAAATTAAGAACTGTGCGTCTTTCTGGTGTGTGCTCCCATTCGATGATTGGCCTTGGCCTGTTTGTCTCTTTATTTAGCCACGGCGAAACCTTGACAGTCAGCGGATAGCAGATATGATCCTGAACCATCTGAGTGTTCAGTAGTCTCCCTGTCAAGTAAAATGTCGTTCGGCATTTAGTGTGGTGCTGGGTAATATGCTTGAGATGGCTCTCGCGATTTGAATATTGTTCACGCAAAGATACCTGCTCCACATCGGCACTTGAGATCTCCATCATATGCGCCAAGGATAAAACGCAGAGTGGGTTTGGGTACCCCGGGACGGGGGCAGCCGACGGGTATATGCAGCGGTGCTATCAGAGGTGGCTTGGACTTGGATCAAAGAGCTTGACTGGTTCAAGCTTCAGATGAAACAGGGAGTCCCCGCCTCGATGCGGTACAAACGCAAGTCAGTTATATGGCTATGAGCCCCGCTGAGGAAACATGGACGTGTTTGGCGGTTCCCAGTATTCGAGATCTTTGTGAATGACTGGACTGGGTCACTTTCTTACTGATTCGCCGTCTGATGATGTCAGTCGTGATCACTTGCCGCCTCTCCAGGGCGCACTGGGAATGGACATTCCAACACCCGACGCCAGGTTGCTTCACAACTTGAGACAGATCATGATCTGCAATTTATTTTAGAAGAACGCTTTTCAGGGTTCCTTTGAATAGGGCCGAACTCCCATGCTCAAGCCTGAATCTAATCAACCGATCCAGCCAGTCTGGTAGTAGGGGTATGCTCTGTGTCTGATTGGCATTTGAGCTAGAAATCGGTTGGATTGGTGGTGAATAGGGGATAGCAGTATTGCTCATCTGGCCTCAGCTGGTACTCTTCGCTTGGAGAGGTCTCCTTCGTTGTAATTATGTGTATCTTTCCCATCGCCAAGTTGGCGCAGATAGAACCCGCTGTCTGCGCCTAGCTACCTCAAACTTGGGTCTCGTTGAAGCTAATGATACCAAGCATATGAAGACTACGAATTTTGATCACACTTTTTGACTACTTAGTCACTTCATACGTCCAAACATCCTGAACTCTGCTGAACGAAGAAGGTCTGGCGGATAATTGAACTGACGTGAGTACGTATAACCTTACGGTTGGCTGACATGAGCCAGGAACAGACCCCGAGTCAATTCCAAGGATGCCGAGAACGGCCGGTTGGCTGAGTTTATCGTTCCAGAGATATGATTAGATGAGCGAATGAGGATAAGTCGCCGGGATCTCAACAGATGGTTCCAAAACCCCGATGCCGATTACAGGTATTTAGCAGTTACATCACCAAGTGGTATTATATCTTTCGAAAAGCGAGCATAGCATGTTATATTGCGCCAGGGTTAGAGTCGTACGCTTTTGCGTCTTGCAGCCAACTACTCAAGGAGAAGTTCCAGGTAGGCCACATTGAAGGTAGACAGGAGACAGACAGCACCGCCTGTTGCGACGAAAAGGGGGGTACAGCAGCTCGGGATCCGAGCGCAGCGGTGGGCGCGCCGGCAGTCTCTTTCCTCCGGCACGATGCAAGGCCCTCCAAGGCAAGTTGAACATTAAGATGGCATAATCAAGGTTATTTTCGTGTCTATACCGTTTTGACCGGGCAGTCCTACTCGGCTGCGGGGGTGGATCTTCAGCCATGGTTTGATTGATATGGTATTCGCCCTCAACGAATCGTTGTCTTTGCCTATAAGGCACATGGCAATCCTTCTACTTTGTCAAGATCAGTGGCTGTTATGGTGCTTTCCTTGAAACTTGCACACGTTCTTGAAGCCGCTAGTGCACTTGCTACGTCAATGATAGGTTGGAGCGCGGTTAACCTGGCGGCCCCGTGGTTGGTAGAACTGAGATTATCCTTGATTCACAGAATAGGTTGCTTCTCCGTGTGGGGGGTCGGATCCGGCCAGTATGGAAGGGTGGCACCGACAGAAGGCTGCATTGATGCGCCTCAGGGGCTTCAGCTGATATGATGGGCTTTTATTACTCCACTAACCGGTGGGCTTAGGTACTTAGCGTCGCAAATCATGGAGTGTGGAGCAGCGGGACAAAAGCTTAGCTTCTGCGGGGGTTCCTGTAACAGACCCGGCCAGTGACTACTCACACTGAGTGGAGGAAGTCGGGGAGATCTCCAGACGTCGAAAAGCAACTCTCTTGTAGATTTTCGATTGCGTACAGACGGAGGTTTATTTTGGATTCAACGTAGACTTAATAGCTGAGGGTACATGTTGTTTTGTCATTTCAATGATTTGGTACGCCCGTATAGTCTGGCCGAATGTGAGGCGGTGCTCGGCGTCGACTCTCACTTCTCCAGCTACGTAGTTATCATAAACGGCGACAACACGCAGTTCATTGAAAGGCTCACGCTGGCTTTGTTTTACTGATCTGAGCTTCTCTATAATATCTGTCTGGTGGATACCCCCTTGAGTTCTTCTCGTGCTTTCGAAACCTCTTGATGTTTGACCAGTTCCTGGGCCTTAGATATTATGGCACATGGGCTGTAACTACGTAAATAGAAGTCACCATCAATAGCTTCTACTCACAATCTAACCCGGTATGCTCCCATCTTTTGATCGAACGATTTGATGTCATAGATATGGGCTGTGTGTGTAAGATAATGAGGCATGGTAAGGGGCTAGCTCATATTCGTTGTTTGATCTATAATGGTCAAAGGTGGAGGAAGATCGAAAGAAAACGTGGATAAAACCGGATTGGCGGATACTGGGTGAAAATGGGTTATCAATGTCTGTTTCTGTGCTGAGCCAATATACAATGCCCCCCCTCGTTGATGCCGTAACCTCATGTACTGGACTACTGCGCTCTCAAACTTCTCCTACCATTGTAGAGCTCCATATAGAAACTAGCACCGGTATTATTCTTGTACCCTCCTGGGAGGTGAAACATACTCGTAGCGCTTCTGAACAGTGACTTTGGGAGACCACGGTTCAATCTACTTCTTGCAAGGTAGCCACTTGATATTGATCTGTTGAGTGAACGCTACCGTGGCATCATCGTCGGTGATAGAACCGTAAGCCTGGGTGTTCTTGGACGTAAGAGCAATACGATTGTTGACGTTAAGAATGCCTGTCGCGCCGCAAGGCGAATAAATGAGAGCCGCAGTAGGGATGGTGTCCTGTTTGGTGTAGACCTGACCATTAAGCCAAATGCCACCTCCGGTGATGGAAGTCTGCGTTGTAGTAGTGGCTGCAGCGTCTTGAGAGAAGAAGTACGTCGAGTAGAATGTTCCAGTGACCCCTTCTTCAAGCTGAGCATATCCATGGTATGTGCTGTCCACAAGAGCGAACTGAAAACCACCCGGATACTTGAGGCTAAGGTGAAGAGCACAGTTCTTGGAGCGCTCGGCTACCGAGAGTCCCGGCCCAATGTAGGTTTGAAACTTGTCGAAGCCAAAGGTGATGACCGTACGGTCTGGAGAGATCGTGGTTGAGACGGAGCCTTGGGGGCAACCACTTCCCGAGAAGCTTGCGCTGACGATCTGGATCTCCTTGGGATCAGGTGTATCAGAGGCTCCAGTCGGCCCCAGGGGGTTGGCTACCGCCTGCACCGCCAGGAAGAAAGCAAAAAGGCCCTTCATGTTGAAGTCTGTGTAAGGTTGTGAAGGGTATGAATGAACGATGCAGTGTCTCTGGTGATATCAACACCTGTGTCTAAGCAGTTTCGATAGAGCAGTGATGAAAAACACAGCTCTCAGGTTGGTGTTGATCTGGTGTATTTATACCCATATCGACGAGGCACACATGGTAGCTTGTGGGCTAGAGTTATCAAATGGTGTTGACCCTCTTTAGTTGGTCCTCCTCGAGCCCGAGGTCAACTGAGCCTGCCGAATACGAGACAAAACCTCACAAGTGACCTTCTCACAGTGCCAAGTTCGCTTAGTAGTAGAGCTGTTCCTGAAGTTACTCAAATACCAGAAGTTGACTACACGATACATCAAAGAGATTTGGTTCAAACCGCAATCACATCGGGCGGGCGAGCCTTAAGCGAAGACCAAATTGAATTAAATTGCTCACAGAATGATTCATCAGCTGACAGCTATACTAGAACGCCACAAATTGGGATTTGATTCTCTGGACCAGTCGTACCAATGATATCGGAGCAGGTCATATTCGGCCCAGACAAACTAAGGTAAGATACGGCTAGGGATGCAGCCAGAGTTCTTTTGAGAAGTAAACTTGATGAATGCAATATCCACCACTTCGAGAAAGACTTTTTACCACATGAGAAACTACAGACGATACCAGCCGCTTCCAACAATGTTACAAAGGCTTCTCTTGATGTCTCGGCGCAACGATGGCCAGCTGTCAGAACTTGGGAGCGAAGAAACCTCTTAGCTGACCACGCTTACGCATTAATGATTCCAGCTGATGCCCGAGTTCTTGGCCTTGAAAAGCTGAGCTGAGTCTAATGCGAGCCTTCTTCAAAAGGGGAAGTTGCTTTGCTACGCGCAAAGCCATACCATGTTCTGAGAACAGTAGCGGAGGCGCCAGTGCTACGCATTGTTAGACCTACATATTGCTTTGGCCAACCGAGGTGACATCGCTCAATGTGGCGAGCATATAAGTCTTAGTGTCACTGCATTATGTTTTGGCGACAAAAAGGTCTCTACTCGTTGAAGGCGAATTTAGCCTAGAGTCATCCAAGTTTTGCCTCATTGTGTGCTCATCGTTATCTAATGTAATTGGCCAGGATGCACTAACTTGCAGAAAGCGGCTTTTGCCATCCATCCAGTAGCGAAATGTTAATCTCTTGGATTAATTTTGCTAGGCATCAGGCACTCTAGGACGGGGACTCTGCACAAGAAGCCGCTCGTATTGTGAACTTGGGATCCCGGCAGCCATTGTCTTGACCAAATTTTGCTTCTGGGGCTACCGCAGTCCGAGACAAGGAAAGTGCTCATGGCCTCTATTTAAGACAGTGTGATTCGTGTTGGATCGTGGCATAATGGTACCGCTCAATAAAACTCAAATAAAACTCAAAAGCTCACGCCTGGCATCAAAGTTCCCTAGCCTGAATGTATCATCCAGAAACTGACAGCCAGAGGCCATGCGTCAGTCTTGGACTACATTTTGTTTTCGGCTACGGAATGTTGCTCGGCTTGCGATATCAGTCAAAAATGTCAAGAGCTTCGGAAGATGTATCCTGTGATGATGTGTCATAAGATTCCTGGATGAACTCCGGCTATATCTAATACCAGCAAAGCTACTTTAGTCAAATTCATCTAATTCCTCATTACATTGCTCAAGATACCTTGCCTCACGAGCTCTCAGCTTGCTTAAGAAGACCTTCCAGGTTAATGCTCTTGGGCCGCTCAATGGGCAGTCCCAATGCTCGGTCCCAGATCAATTGAGCAAGGGGTCCCAAGCCACGGGAGACACCAAAGGTGGCGGTGTAGTACAGAGTCTCGTGGAAGCCATAGTGATGGAAGAGGACTCCAGAGCTTGAGTCGACGTTGGGGTAAGGGTTCTTGGTCTTGCCGTGCTTCTTGAGCACTTCGGGGGCAATTCGACTGTTCTTTTCCACCAGTTGGAAGACGGGGTCTTGTGCGATCTCAGGTCGAGCGGCGGCATAATCCATCAGAGCCTCGAACCGAGGGTCGGGTTTCCGCAGGACAGCGTGGCCGTAGCCAGGGACAACTCTGCCGGAGTTGAGGGTGGACCACAGGTAATCTGTGACGTCTTTGTCAGAGTAAGACGAGGGAATGTTGTCCTTCATCTGTAGAATCCACCGAAGAACCTCTTGCGCGGCAAGTCTATGCGGAGGTCAGCATTGGTTTGTCAAAACAGCAGCAATCGGTGGTGACAACATACCCATGAAGAGGACCCGCGAGACCTTGAAGACCAGCGCTGTAGCTTAGGAAAGGATCGCTAAGGGCGCTGCCAACTAGGTGAGTGGCGTGGGCGGAAACGTTACCGCCCTCATGGTCCCCGTGGAGCGCGAGATACAGTCTGAGGAGATCTTGGAAGTTCTCATTCGCCTTGCCACCCTTCCCAAGCATGGCAGCAAAGTTGTAAGACCAATCCTGCTCCAGGTCTACTTCTGCGGGCAGAGCGCCGCCGCCACGGTAGGAGTTCTGGTAGATCTTGGCAGCGATCGTGGGCAGCTTGGCCAGCAGCGAGATGGAGTCGTCGAAAGTAGGCTCCCAGTAGTCAGCCTTGTTGATACCCTGCTCGTAGGCCTTTGCAAACTTGGAGGTGTAGTTGAGAGCAGAGACGGCAATGGCAAATTGGGTCATTGGATGCAGGTCTGTGGGGAAATCGTCGAGAAGCTTGTTGACAAAGGCGGGCAACTGAGCTTGCTCAGCCAATTCGCGGGAGAATTGGCGAACCTGGCTTGTGGACGGGACCTGGCCTGTAAGAAGAAGCCAGAACATGGCCTCGGGCAACATTTCTGTTCCAGTCTTTCCCTTGGGGAGCTCTTTTTGACAATCCTTGATGGTTCTGCCGTGAAACCGAATGCCCTCATTCGCATCCAAGACAGATCCCTCCCAAACCATGGCCTTGAGGCCTCGCATGCCACCAAGAGTGTTCTCGACCTTGACCTCCCCAATGACCTTGGACGAGTGTGCCTTGACCTTCTTCAGAAGTTCCCGCTTGGCGGGAATGACGCTCTTTAGTGTGGTCTTGAGGTCCGGTTCGGAAGTTGAATACTGGCGCGCATTGAGGGCAGAACGAGCTGCCAGAGGCTACGGGTTGTCAGACCATAATCGTCCAGCGGTATGTTGATTGCTGTAGCTTCAACTTACCCTCAGAGCTCCAAGAGCTCTGGTACCTTTTGTGATGTTCATAGCCATGGCTGCCGACCGAGAGAATTTCAAAGGGAGGATCAGCGACGGAGAAGTGATGGGGAGGGGTAGAGGACGAAACAAGGTGACCGGGAGAGGCAACAGTAGTTGAATGGCTACTGAATCAATCGGCTGGATCGGGCCAAAATGATTTGAGGAGTACTGGAGGTAGGCAGGTAGAGACAAGCAGCTGGTGATGAAATTACTGTAGGAGGAGAAACTTGAGGAAGAAGAGTCACGAGCAGACGGGCGAGGAAACTTCACATTGTGCCGACCTACTAGATAAGCAGGTACCGCAGCAGGCCGAGACAAACAGCTTGACCCGAGGTTGGGGAAGCCTGGGTGAGCGGCACTGACCTACCCCCGCGGGAGAGGGGATGTGTAAGTCAGCGTGCTGCTGCACTCCTCAGACCGCCGCCAGCCATGTACGGGCAAGGTAGTAGGTATGCCGGTCCGGTGCCTTAACATTGAACGGTAGGGAAACTACCAATCCCATGTTAAGCGGGCTACCTTGGATTGTGTGCCCGGTACCTACCTAGGTAGGTAGATATTGTGGCTAGTAAGACGCTGGCGGGGTGGTCTTCAAGGCCGGTGGGGGAGTGCACTGGAACGACAGGGGACGGGACCCCAGCTTTTTGTCCTCCTCCTCCACGTTTGGCACGGGCAGTACGGGTTCCAGCGGCCGGAGCGTCATTGCCCATATCCCGTGCGCCGTGAGTGGCCGGGGAAGTTCACAGACCCATAATTGCTTCACCATACGTAGTACCTAGCTGCTTTAACATCAGTCCTTCCCCACGTCGCTGGCACTGTGAGTCTGTGGCCGATGAGGGGAAAAGAATGGGCCGAGGCAAGCCGACGCAACTGCGGACCTTTGGTCTTGTCAATTGACCAATGAGAGCACTTCACATTGGCCTTGCACGTGGTGACATTCGTCTTGCCGCTGCTTACCAAGGCTGTTGATTCGCTTTTGCCCGGCTAACACTCGCCGAAGTTGAGCGCTCCCAATTGCGCCTGTCCATTTCCCACGTTATTCCCATTCAGCTACTCTTATGTAACATCCTTTGTCCCGAGTACCGAGTCGTTGCCTCTCGGATTTGCTTTTGTAGAAACCTGCCTCGCCGGCGATACGACGCTAAACTCCTCGCAATAGGCGGGCATCATCGCTCTGTAGACAATACCACGACCGGGGCAAGTCTTGCAGATTCTATCTTGTGCTTCTCCGTCACACTTTGCAGCATCTCGGTACTCCTACCTCCAGAAGAAAGAAACACGACAATGATGCGACGAGCTGCTGCGCGAGCAGTCACCCGGAGGGTTCCTCTCATCAGCCCGTCTTCAACACCTGCTGCTGCTGCTGCTGCTGTGCGCTATTTCTCAATAACAAGGAGAATGGCACAAACACCCAAGAACCTCTTCTCTGCCTCCGCCCCTCCCAGCGATAACTTCCAACTTCTGGCCGAGTCTAAGAAGGCCGGTACTGCCGAGGATGAACTCTACGAAGCACAGATCAAAGAGGTTGAGGCATGGTGGCAGTCACCGAGATATGAAGGCATCAAGCGGCCATACAGCTCAGCCGATGTGGTTTCCAAGCGCGGTTCGCAGCATCAGTCATACCCGAGCTCCGTCATGGCTAGAAAGCTTTTCAACCTCGTCAAGGAGCGGGAAGCTGAGGGCAAGCCTATCCATACGAGTACGGACGCTCCTCTCCCCACCTCTCTATAGATGGGCACATGCTAACCGCCGATGTCTTGTAGTGGGCGCCATTGATCCTGTCCAAATGACCCAGCAGGCCCCTCACCAAGAAGTCCTGTATATCTCAGGCTGGGCTTGCTCCTCCCTTCTGACCTCTACCAACGAGGTTTCCCCCGACTTTGGCGACTACCCTTACAACACCGTTCCGAACCAAGTCCAACGTCTCGCCAAGGCGCAGTCGATGCATGATCGGAAACAATGGGATTCTCGGCGGAAGCTCAAGGCCGAAGAACGCGCAAAGACCCCGTATATTGACTATCTACGACCCATCATTGCCGATGGCGACACCGGACACGGTGGTCTCTCTGCCGTTCTCAAGCTCGCCAAACTTTTCGCAGAGAACGGTGCCGCTGCGGTGCACTTTGAGGATCAGCTCCACGGCGGCAAGAAATGCGGCCACTTGGCTGGCAAGGTCCTCGTCCCCATTGGCGAGCACATTAACCGTCTCAACGCCGCTCGTTTCCAATGGGACGTCATGGGCTGCGAGAACCTCGTCATCGCCCGCACCGATTCGGAGAGCGGAAAACTCATCAGCAGTGCCATTGACGTCCGCGATCACGAGTTCATCCTGGGCGTGGCGGACCCAAGCTTCGAGCCCCTCGCCGAGACTATCCAGGCCATGGAGGCCAAGGGCGCGGTCGGGGCCGAGATCGATGCTTTCGAGGCCAACTGGGTCAAGAGCACCAAGCTGGTGACCTTTGACGAGGCCGCCGTGGCGCATATGAAAAGGGAGGGTGTCTCCCAGGACAAGATTGACGCGTATCTCAAAGCGACACGCTCCAACCGCGATATGGGAATCTCCCAGCGCCGCAAGCTCGCCAACGAGCACACCTCGACACCTGTCTACTTCTCCTGGGACGTGCCCCGCACGCGCGAAGGCTTCTATCACTACCGCGCCGGCATGGACGCCGCCACGAAGCGCGCCATTGCCTTTGGCCCCTACGCTGACCTCCTGTGGGTCGAGACGGGTGATCCCAACGTCAAGGTCGCCACAGATCTCGCCAGGGCCGTCCGCGCCGTCTATCCGGGCAAGGGGCTCGTCTACAACCTCAGCCCTTCTTTCAACTGGATGGCACACGGATTCACAGACGAGACGCTCAAGAGCTTTATTTGGGATATTGCCAAGGAAGGATTTGTGCTGCAGCTTATATCGCTTGCTGGCCTGCACTCCAACGCCACCATCACGAACGAGCTTGCGAGGGATTTCAAGAAGGATGGCATGCTGGCGTATGTGAACACTGTGCAGAGGCGTGAGAAGGAGGGTGGCTGTGACGTTTTGACGCATCAGAAGTGGAGTGGCGCTAGCTATATTGACGGAATCCTCGGGGCTATCCAGAGTGGCAGCTCGAGCAGTAAGAGCATGGGCGAGGGCAACACTGAGAGCCAGTTCCACTAGAGAGCCATCTATAAAATGCATGTGGGCGGCGTTGCGGAAATCTTCTAGCGTTTTCAGGATATCAATTTGTCGTTTCTTGATGTACACCTCTCGCCTGCATATTCCGTGTTTGCCTGCCTGTAGATGGGAGGTTGGGCCAAAACAGGAGGTCTCGCAGACGGAACAATGTCATCACTGGTTTTGTGAGCTTCTTCAAGAATAAATGCTTCAATTTGACTATGCACAGTTTCATCATCATGGCCTTTCGGCCGTGTACGCCCCAGTCTCTTGCCCAGCGCCCTAAACTCCAACCCAATACGGTATCATATCGCGAAAATCGGATTCAAACAAGCAGCGCAACGCAACCATTACTCGAGGGTGGTGCGGCTGGCGTTGTTGATGGGGGCAGGCGCCGCGGGGCCCTCGGGGGTAACGTAGGCCTTGGTCATGCCGCCGTCGACAACCATATCGTGGCCGTTCACGAAGCTGGACTCGTCGCTGGCGAGGAAGAGAACAGCCTGGGCCTGCTCAATGGCCTCGCCGAAGCGGCCGGTGGGGAAGTGAATCTCGCGGCGCATGCGCTTGGGCACGTCGTCGCCGAGCCAGTCCTGCAACAGAGGAGTGTTGAGAGGCGCCGGGCAGAGGGAGTTGAAGCGGTAACCCTCGCGGGCGTGGACCATGGCGAGCTCACGGGTAAGGGCAAGGACGGCACCCTTGGAAGCGGTGTAGGCAAGCTGGGGAGTAGCAGCGCCGACAAGAGCGACAACTGAGGCGGTGTTGATGATGGAGCCCTTTGTCTTCTTGTTGCGGCGGAGGGCGAGAACGGCGTGCTTGCTGCCGAACCAAACTCCCTTGACGTTGATGTTCTGGGTCAGATCCCAGATCTCCTCGGGGGTGTTCACGGCATCGTCGTCCTTGGCGTGCATAATTCCGGCATTGTTGAAGATAATGTCGAGTCCACCCCAGGCATCAACGGAATCAATGAGGGCCTTGACCTGGTCTTCCTTGGAAACATCGGTGACCTATCATGGCGAAGAGAAACCGTTAGCAAATTGAATGGAACACTCCCAGTCGTTGGGTTTCGCGTTGTGTCGTGTGACGAGGCAAGAAACGAGACAAGATAAATGGCGGGGCATGGCGGGGTAATTTTTTCTTTCGCGTTGTGCAATGTGCAGGTGTGCTGCTGTTGTCGCTGTGACCAGCGTTGTGCAGTGCATTGCTGTCGGCGTTTGATTTGATGCACGCCGGAGCGGCGGGAATGGGATCTTCCAACACTTTTCATTCGCAGCCTGACTCAACGTACCTTGGTCTCAATTCTGGCCGACGGGAGCAGCGACAGAACCTTGGCCTTTGCCTTTTCGAGTGCCGGGGCAGAGATATCGGCCATAGCAACGCTGGCACCCTCCTTCGCAAAGAGAATGGTCGTCTCCAAGCCAATGCCACTGTCACAATTGCTTGTCAGCTTATCGGATCCTGTATGCCATGTGTGTATGATGCGGTGAACGCCCAGCCACTGGGGACTCATCCCGATGCGCCGTGCTGATAAGGCGCCTGTGAGACCATGAGGGGGGTTGCAACATTGCATTGGGTGACCTTACCCAGCAGCGCCAGTGACGACGGCGTTCTTGCCAGCCAGGCGACCTCCAATCTCAGCAGGAACGGAACCCATTTTCAAAGGTGTTGATATCTTTCGGAGTGTGTCTTTTTGTTGTTGTTGTGATGTTGAGTCGCAAGTCACAGTTGGTGAATCGCGAAGTGGCGGAGGAACGAGTTGGGGTTCGAAGGTTTTAGTGTGGTAGTCAAAGTCCCGTTGATAGCTTGGAGCTCTTAGTTGAAAACAAAGTGTGTTGATGAGAAGAGAGAAGAGCAGGACGGTCACCAC